TATATATATAACTATTACTACATGAATTTTGAATTCACTAAAGTTTTATTAAAATACTAGACATATTCATGTAAATATTATGTTGTGCCATATCTCTTTATTATTGCAGCTGATGCAATGGTGTCAATGGGCCTTGCTGCTCTAGGATACCAATATATTAATATAGGTACGACATTTTTTATTATCATTATTGTCATTAATATTAATAATATAAAGTTATATATATTTATTTATAATGAAAAAATAATGTACTATTTTTCTTTGAATTTTTAGATGATTGTTGGGGCGAGCTTAATCGAGATTCACAGGTAATAATATTATTTTATATAAATAATTCCACTAAAAAATAATATTTTGGTCGTGATAATTACAAGATTTGAATTTAGGCGCATGAGTCACCCTAAATTACTTACTATAGTTGGTTTATAATGAAATTAACATATTTGCTACATAGTGTATCACTCTACAATTGCATCTGCATATCAAAATTTAATATCCTTTCTGATAAAAAAAAAAAAAAATTTATATCCTTTTTTGTGATATTTAATTTTGGTTAATGTAAAATGTTGGCAGGGTAATTTGGTTCCCAGAGCCTCAACATTTCCTTCAGGAATGAAGGCTCTAGCAGATTATGTTCATAACAAAGGTTTAAAGTTGGGGATATATTCTGATGCAGGGTATATCACAAATTAAACTTTTTTATTTTTATTTTTTTTGCATTTCTATGATTATTTAATCTTTTTTTTTTGTTGTTTAAATCCTGACAATTTTTCTGCAGAAATCAAACATGCAGTAAAACTATGCCAGGATCACTAGGACATGAAGAGCAAGATGCAAAAACATTTGCTTCTTGGGTAACATGCATTAATTTCAAAGTCATTTTACATTTATGTCAAGCCCTATCCTATGTAATTTTACTAAGATCTCCTTCATTGTTACTAATTTAGGGGATTGACTACTTGAAGTATGATAACTGTGAGAATAATAATATAAGCCCCAAAAAAAGGTACTTGTGACCTTTAAATGCACACAAAAAAATTACATGCTTCAAAAACTCAGGAATTGATACATTTTGTAGCACAGGTACCCTCCAATGAGTGAAGCTTTGTCAAACTCTGGAAGGCCAATTTTTTTCTCTTTGTGTGAATGGTGAGCCATTGGTGATTGTGTTTCACATATTCTTCAATGCTGATGAACTTCACTATTTCTTAAGGAATTTATATTGCTAAAAGAAATCAAGTATAACTAGCATTTTGTATACTCTATTATTCCTCTAAGCCAGAAAATTCACTTTTAGTTTTGAACTATTAATTGCTTTCTCAAACATAGGGGATCAGAAGATCCAGCAACTTGGGCCAAAAGTGTGGGGAATAGTTGGAGAACAACAGGAGACATTGAAGATAAATGGGATAGGTAAGCTGTAATCATGCATGATATGCTATAAAGTATAAAATTATTTATCTGATTTGATGAATTTCATAATCTTATACTCAATTTGAAACCTGTTACATGTTTGTATCACACTCATTTTTATTGAACATTTGACAAAGACATTTCTTGGAGAGGCTTTTATTGAACCAACATGATAGTTAAGTTATAAAGAGTAAATATCATTTTTAAGAAGTTCATTTTTCTTCCATTATTCTGTTTCATACTCTCATTTATTCATTTGCCACATGGGAAACTTATGATATTGTCTCCATAGTATGACATCTCGTGCAGATCTAAATGACAAATGGGCTTCTTATGCTGGACCTGGAGGGTGGAATGGTAATCATACCACTCACTAGTTCTCATGAACATAGTTATCATTCTTAGACTAATTCATACTTAAATACAAAATAAGGACAATTGTCAATGTATAACTCTTATTTAGTTACTGTATCATATTTAAGAAATTAAAGTTCATTATCATTTTTTTATACAGATCCTGACATGCTAGAAGTTGGAAATGGAGGGATGACAACTGAAGAATATCGTGCTCATTTCAGCATATGGGCATTAGCTAAGGTAACATGCAGCAAAAAATTTTAACACATGCTGCTTAGGCATTTCCATATAATAAATGAGAAAATAAAAGTTATACATTCACCATGCAAGTTTTACACTATCATTGAATCACAGAAGTATGATAAGTTTGTTGACTTTTATAATAATTAAGTTTAATGATCATGTATTGTAAAAAGTTTCTTCAGAGCCATTTAGATCCACTTTAAAAATGGGCCACCCACCATTGATGCATGTCTCATAGGCATGAGGGGGTGTATTGGGAAAAACCCAAGTCCCGCCAATCCTAGATCATTAAAAAGGGCCACCCACCATTTATCCACGTACCAAGCCCAATAGTGCTGGACGTGAGGGGGTGTATTGGGAAAAATCCAAGTCCCACATCGACTAGAGATTAGGCAATTGAATAATATATAAGTGGAAAGCAATCATTACCTTACAAGCCGGTTTTGTAGGGTTGAGTTAGGCTTAATCCACTATTCTAAGATGTTTGTATCAATTTTAAAATAGTTATTATAAAATTCAACAAACTTATCATTTATGGTAGATTGTGATTGAATGACACTGTAAAATTGTTTTACACTATCAATATATCACTATTAAACCCATAATAATTACCTAAAAAAGACATATCAATAATGACTTCAGTAGTTAATCTCTTGTAAAAGTTTTTACGCAGTGTTTTTCTTTGAGGAAAAATGTATTTGCATGTTAAGTGCATTTCTTTTGTGTATATAGGCTCCTTTATTGATTGGTTGTGACATTAGAGCATTGGATGCCACCACAAAAGAATTGCTCAGCAACAAAGAAGTTATTGCAGTAAACCAAGGCAGGGACAGACAAAAACAACCTTCTTATACTTTCTTTTACAAGAATGCTTTTAAAGCTAATAACCGTATGTTATTGCAGACAAGCTTGGAGTTCAAGGAAAGAAGGTGAAAAGTAACAATGATTTGGAGGTAACTTCCTATCCTTTGCCTCATGCGTTTTGTGTGTGTTTTTCTTTTCTTGTAAAACTGGGGATAAGTTTTGTCAGCAACTTCCTTTATGATGCTATTCCATGTTTTCATGTAACTACTAAACTTTGATACTGGCACCAGCCTAGTTTTCAAGAGCTGTTGCCTTATCATGTAGAAATAAAGCAGATGCTAACAAATGTGTACTTGAAGTCAAGAGACTCAACCGCGTGTGTCTTCAATGATTTAGTGATCAAATTTAGTGACTTAAACTGTGATAAATTTTGAAACAGAGGAATGGTGGGATATTAAAGGATACGGGCACGGATTTGTTAGAAAAGTTAGTATTGTTTTGTTAAGCTTTTAAAACTGATAGAGAATAGTAGATGTAGAATTAGAAGGGATAGTTAATTGGAGGAGATTAGCTTAATCTACGATCAGCACCAAGTCAGTAAATTGTTAGGCTCTTAATCTATTTATAGGCTCTTAAAGTCAGTAAATTGTTTCACTTGTGATTCTAAAGTTTCCTACATTTATCTAATTATTACATTATGGAGTATTACAAAATTTACAAGAATATTCTAGAAATTTACATCAGCGTCTAATATATTGTTTCTCCCTCACTAATTCTGGGGTCACAAGTTTTTTAGGGATGATGTTTCTAAAAAATTACATATAAATTGCTTTATTATTAATTTAAATTTAAAACTTATATGAAATATCATAAGTGTTGTTTTCTAATTAAAATTAACATTCTTACTTCGGTAATATATATAATAAAATATTTTATTAAATATCAATGTGTATTACTGAAATAAAATACTAATTTTAATTGTAAAACAATATAATTGACTCAACATATCTTTACATAGGCCTGAAGTAAATTATATTTTCAAGCTGGCTTAAAGCAAATTTTAAGATAAAACATTGTTAATTAAAAAATCTGAGCAAAATTTGGTGAAAAAGATATATTAAAAGGTGATTTATTTACTTAAAATTAATGATTAAATAATTTAAATTTTGGTGATAATTGACATATTAAGAGACAATTTATTTATTAAAATTAATGACTAATTTATTTTTAAGTAAGTTAAAGTAATAAAGTAATAAATAAATAACAGAATAAATAAGAGACATTTTTTTCAAGAGGCCTAAAAAAAAGGGCTTGTCCAACTTTATACTTTCTTGAAAAATAGATGGTACTGTTTTTTTTTATTTGATAAGCAAAATATAATATAAATAAATAAATAACAGAATAAATGATATCATTAGTATTGTTATTTTCTAATCAAAATCATAATTTTACTTGGATAATGTGTAATAAAAGATTTCATCAAATACTAACAAAGTAAACGCTTATTGTATATAAGTTTAGTCCTTTAAATTTTTTTGCATGTCAAATTGCTCAATAAAACATATTAAAAGAAAGCAAGTGATGCAGGTCTGGGCAGGTCCTCTCAGTAATAACAAGGTAACAGTGATATTATGGAATAGAAGTTCATCCAAAGCAAAAGTTACTGCATCCTGGTCTGACATAGGCTTGAAACCAGGAACTTCAGTTGATGCAAGAGATTTATGGGCGGTGAGATACCAAGTTTGACTTATTTTGTTTTTCCTAATGCACAACATCTGAAATGCTTATGCTTTTGACCATTTGTTTTTAATTTTGCAGCATTCAACACAATCATCAATTTCTGGAGAAATATCTGCTCAATTAGATTCACATGCTTGTAAGATGTATGTCCTGTCTCCCAACTAAGTTCTTAGTTGGGGAAAAAAAAGGAGTTAAACACAAAAGTCAGCAAAAAGAAATGCATTGGATGTTCCACAGAAGGAAAAAGAAATCACAGGAAATTTATTTATCAATAGGAAATACAAAAGATATGTATAAGTTTTATTTCTCCCAAGGTTTCCATTTTAAATTATACATTGCCATTGAGATCCACTTGATTTCAATATAATATGCTTTTCATATCCCTATCTCCTGTTAATCTGATATCAAGCATTACTATATATATGGTTGACAATTTTGTCTATTCCTGCTAGTATTTCTAATTCATAGTTATAGTGTGAACATTTTGCATTTTGCTTGAAGAAAAAATGGATAATTTTTTCTATGTTCTTACGGTAACTTTGCAACTAATTGAAGTTCAGCACTATACAACAATCAAATTCAGCCAGATCTTTAGTTGAAGTGAAGCAACTTAGGTTGCATTAAAATGAAATGAGTCAACTTCCTTTAAGCATCCCCTATAGAAGCTTCTCTAGTAAGTAGTAACTATTTTCAAGAAGTAGAAGACATGTTTTGAATTTGTCATCAAGCCTATTTGCATGTAGATTTTTCTTGATACAAAGATGAAATAATTACTTTGTAATAAATTTTGGCAATGATATTTTGTGATATAATTGAATTTTTTTTAATTTTTTAAAATTATATTTGAAATAATTTCTAACCAGTTAATAATATATAAATCATTACACAGTGATAAATGGAAATAAAACTCCTTACTTAATAAAATAACAATAGAAACAAGTTATCAATTTATTAAAATCCACTCTAGTTTTGGTCATTACTTTGTTACTTTTTAATAAATAATTATAACTCCATATGTCATCCTTTCCAAAGGACAAACCATAGGCTTATGCATGAAAAATTACCCAAAGCAACTCAAAAAGAGAGAAAGATGGCTACAAATTACTAAGAAGTAAATGTCTTTGCGCCCTTCATCACTTGCCAACTTTCGAAGGTCACTATACCAATGGAACTTGATGATTCGAGACTCTAACAATAATGGGTTCTTCGCACAAACATTAAATATATACTCTTCCATGGCACACTCTGGTGTCCATGGCAACAACCTCACCTACCCTTTGCTCCTCAAGGCCTGTGCCAACCTCGCTTCTATTCAACATGGGACAATGCTTCATGGGCACGTCCTCAAACTTGGGTTCCAAGCAGACACCTTTGTTCAAACTGCTCTCCTTGACATGTACTCAAAATGCTCCCATGTTTCATCTGCACGTCAGGTGTTCGATGAAATGCCGCAGAGAAGTGTCGTCTCGTGGAATGCCATGGTTTCGGCTTACTCTCGCGGGTCATCGGTGGATCAGGCATTGAGATTCTTGAAAGAAATGTGGGTTCTTGGTTTTGAGCCGAATTGTTCCACATTCGTTTCGATTTTGTCAGGTTATTCCAACTTGGATTCTTTCAAGTTTCATTGGCAGGGGAGGTCGATACACTGTTGCTTGATCAAACTTGGGATTGTGTATTTGGAGGTCTCTCTGGCCAACTCACTAATGGGTATGTATGCCCAGTTTTGCCTAATGGATGAAGCAAGGAAAGTTTTTGACTTGATGGATGAAAAGTCGATCATTTCTTGGACAACTATGATAGGGGGTTATGTGAAAATTGGGCATGCTGTGGAAGCATTTAAGTTATTTAATCAAATGCAGCATCAAAGTATTGGCATAGACTTTGTTGTGTTTCTAAATCTTATTTCTGGTTGCATACAAGTAGGAGAGTTTTTGTTAGCTTCATCTGTTCACTCTCTTGTACTTAAATGTGGGTGCGATGTAGAGGATTCCATTGAAAATTTGCTTATTACTATGTATGCAAAATGTGGTAGACTTACATCTGCTAGAAGGATATTTGATTTGATCATTGAAAAGAGCATGTTAACATGGACATCAATGATTGCAGGGTACGTCCATTCAGGTCATCCAGTGGAAGCACTGGATCTGTTTAGAAGGATGGTAAAGACAGGTATTAGACCAAATGGAGCAACCCTTGCAACTGTTTTATCAGCTTGTGCTGATTTGGGATCACTCAGCACTGGGGAAGAGATTGAAGAGTACATTTTTCTAAACGGGTTGGAATCGGACCAACAAATCCAAACATCTTTGATACACATGTACTCCAAATGTGGGAGCATCATGAAAGCAAGAGAAGTGTTTGAAAGGGTGAGAGATAAAGATTTAACTGTTTGGACTTCCATGATAAATAGTTATGCAATCCATGGGATGGGGGATGAGGCTATCAGCCTCTTTCACAAAATGACAACTGCAGAAAGGATAATGCCGGATGCCATTGTTTACACTGGTGTTTTGCTGGCCTGTAGCCATTCCGGATTGGTGGAAGATGGACTGAAGTACTTCAAAAGTATGCAAAAAGATTTTGGAATAGCTCCTACCGTAGAACATTGTACCTGTCTGATAGATCTTCTCGGCCGAGTTGGCCAGCTTGACTTGGCTTTCGATGCAATTCAGGGAATGCCACTGGAAGTGCAAGCTCAAGCTTGGGGTCCATTGCTTAGCGCTTGTAGGATTCATGGTAATGTTGAGCTGGGTGAGCTTGTTACTGATAGGTTATTAGACATTAATCCTGAAAGCTCTGGAAGTTATGTATTAATGGCTAACTTGTATACCTCTTTGGGAAAGTGGAAGGAGGCACATATGATGAGAAATTTGATAGATGGTAAAGGTTTGGTCAAAGAACGTGGCTGGAGCCAAGTTGAGGTCAGTCATAGCTATCATGCATTTGCTGCAGGAAATCAACCGCAGTAAATTGTTGCAGATCTAAATTTTACTCTTCAAGGAAAAAACAATCTCAGTGAATGATTAATAGCTAAAAAACGAAAACACTAGGGAACCTCTGAAAACCTGAGGTTTTCCATAGAATTGTTTCAGCTGGTTGTGTCAATAGAACTACCAGAATCCAGCGTTAGAACATGCTTTGGAGCTCAAGTTCCATAACTAATGACAGGGATTTTATAATGCAAGATCAGCATGTGGTTGCATTTTGAATCCGGTTCTTGTCAAAGTAAGGAATTCAAGTGAATTTGTGATTTCCTTCTTTTTAACCTTTTCTGTCCTGAACCTGGTTCTCTCTAATAAGGCAGTTAGTTTCACATTTGACCAGACAAAGTGTTTACCCATGAATATGATACATGTTACTTTACATGTAAACCAAACTCGTTACGGAATATAAAAGATGTAAATTTGGAAAGATCAGATCTTTGTTGTCCTTTCTGCCAGGCATTCCTAATGCCTACATTCAGTTACTGCAACAGATTTATACATATTCATATTCTTACAATGACAAGGTGGGGGTAGATAACCAACTTGATGAAAATCACAACCATTATCCATCTTCCTTGAATAACTTTTTTCTGTTGGTCACCAGCTAACTTCTATCATTCTGAGTTCTTTTGTTGTAGTTGTAGTTATCAAGTATTGGTCAAGCATAGATCATGCTATCAGGGTTCATAATGATTTGCTTCATTCATGTAAGTCTTTATATTTACCTTCTTAAAAGAAGATATTAATATCAATAAAGAAAATAGGAAGCAAAGTTTGCAATGCTTGCATGCTTACACCAGAAGCAAATTTAAAGACAAAGTAGATTTGGAATAATCTCTTCGTAGTTCAAAGTTAAAACTACTACGAGGATCCACATGGTAGTTCCAAGTTAATAGCAGTTGGCTAGTTAACAAGGCATTATAGAAATTCAAGTACGCAAAATAATAAAGTGAAAATATTCCTCAAATGAGAGCAACTACGAATCTGAAGTATCATTTTTCTGTCACATTATTTGGTAATCAACAATCCAATGAGTCTTCTATTCTATCATACCACGTGGCCATTGCAAATTTACAAGTGAATTAAGTCAGTGCCGTGGTATGCAATAAAAGTATTTTCTATGATGTATATATCTAGTTTTCCCATTTGACCTTCTAAGTTCCTAAACAATATACAACTCATCAATGAAACAATACCTAATACCCCACATTCTTATTTATGAATGGTACTAATCTCTGACATGGTAAAAAAATCAGTAACATAAGTATGTAAGCATTCTGACATTTACTTTGTTTATATTTCTCTCACGGTGCTCTCATCTTCTCAACAATGTTCCTACCCTTTTCTTCAATGTGACGCTTCTTTTCTTCAAATTTCTCACTCATTTTCTTTTTAAAATCAAGCATTTTTTCCCTTCTCCCAATTTTTCTTGGCCTTGAATCTTCCCGTTCAATTGAAGTATGTTGTTTATCCATCACAACATTTCGGGAAGGTGATGGAATCACAGAAATTTCCCCCATTTTTTCTTCCCTAGTTTCATCATGTGTATAGTCATTCCATAACGAAGTAGTTCTAAGTTCTGGCAAATCTCTAGTTTCTTGTGATTTGTCATCCTCTAACAAAGGTGTTGTCAGTTCTTGCAAACTTTTGCTGCTCCTTAATGTTACTGAACTAGAGGAAATTGGAGGAAGTGCCAAAGAATCTGATTTCCTAGCAGGTTCCTGACTAGATTTGGTACACTTTGGTGCTTTCTGTTGTTTGAGTTCTGGACCATCACTTAAGGTCGTTGCACTAACTTTTAGTCCACCAGAAGGTTGATTACTGATATCAACTGAGGTTGAAGTCTCGTTCCCCGATTCTTGGTGGATCCATATGAACGGAGCGACGTTCCTAGGAACCCAATCGTCTTTTTCAGCTAGCATCCATGGAAGGCATATGCTTTCACAATTTGGGAGCACTAAAGTTTCCCGAATTGCTGCCTGCAAGAGATCAATTAAATTAATTTTGCACGTTAAAGATGCTCAAATCCTTTCTAGTTTTCTACTTTTTTGATGTTTCTTTAAACTAAATTTTTTTAAAAAGAAGTTGTTTTAAGAAGCAAATTCTATCTGCTTAAAAAATTACTTTTTTTAAAAATCACTTATTCTATAACCATTTGTTTTCATTTTAAACAAAATAGCCCTGTTTCCCAAAGAAATTCCTCTTTGGACATAATTACCAATATGATTTTTTTTTTTTGTATATAGATTAAACAAGATTCCAAGAAGGACATAGAAATGAACTGCATAAAGCTTGAAAACTTCAAACATCTGCACTGAAAAAGCAATTGTTCAGCAACATCCTTTCATAAGCAAATGAGAAGAGTCATACCTTGAGCCGATTGACCATGAACAAAGCTATGTGTGAATTAGTTATCTTGTGTTCTCCAACAAATGATTCCAAGCTGAAGTCTATATCGGGCATAAATGTGAAACCAAACCACAATTGATCAGAGGGAGGTGGCTTTATCTGCAAACGCAATGTCCCTCTGAGGGATGCTACCCTTATTGCCAAAGAGAGAGGAACCTTTTGATAATAAATAATCCATTAATTTGAGAATAACACAGCTTAAGCATTCATAAATAACTGCATTTATGGATAAAATAGCATAACATCTACGCATTATCAAATATAGAATAGTATAACATCTATGCATTTATCAAATACTTAAGAAGTGTCTCCATGTGCATCTATTGACACCAAAATGCACAAAAACAAGATTTGAATTATGCTCCATATGCTTTGCGGCTTGGCCTATAGATGGGAAAAAATACTTATCAGTAGAGATGGAAAAAAATACTTCATATGCTTTGCCTAAAGGCAAACATTTTTGGGAGTGGTCTAGAGTGCAATCCTTGTTGGCCCAATGATTTTAGCAAAATCCTTTTGATAAAAAGTTGGAATTTAGCACAAGGTAGGTGAGCTTCTGCATTGTCATCCAGGGCCACAAGGTCATGTGTGACGGGGCATGTCAAAGTTGTAATATAAAAATCATTTATGTATCTTCTCCTAAAAGATGAAGCATTCAGTAGAGTTGAATTAAATATATAAATTATTTAATGGTTAAAAACTTAATTTGGTCTCTTATAATATTTTTTTGTTTCAATTTAGTCTCACTTTAATTTTTTGTTTTAATTTGGTCCAATAATTTAAATTATTGCAATTTGAGACTTCCGTCCAAATGATTTAAACAGGGTTAACTCCTGGTGACGTGGACGCCACTTGGATGCGGACGTGGATGCTTAATTTTTTCATGCATCTGAAACCATAATGGCCCGTTCTGAAACTAAAACTGACCGTTCTGGTTGCACTCATGGTGCGTAAATTTTGCATCCGGAACAGGTGTTCCTGATGCATTATTTAACACCAATGAAGTGCATTAGAACGGGCCGTTCTGAAATCAGAGCGGGCCGTTCTGGTTTCCAAAACGGGTCGTTCTAGATTTAGAATGGGCTGTTCCAGAACGCCAACCAACACACTATGTGATTCAAATATCAAAGACAAACCACTTACACATACATAATTTTTTTTATCTAAAAAATAATATATTTTAAAAATAAAAATTATATTCTAATAAATATATATATATATATATATTTAAATTATCATATGTATAAAATCTAAATTTCGAAGAATTATTCATTTATCTCATATTTGTCAAACTTTTGTGCTTTCTATTTATTGTATATGTTGATAAAAAAAAATTAAAATTGTAAAAATTTATCACATCAAAAACATCTTTATATGATAAATAAATTAAATTTGATTTTTATAAGATTTAACATATTTATTTTTATGTTTTTATTAGTGTTAAATTATTATTAAGTAGGTTTTTAAGATTGTAGTTCTAACCAAACATTTTAAAAAATGTCTGACAGATAAATATATCATATTAATAACATGTATTTTTAATAAAAATTAGGTTTAATTTTGTTAAATTATAACATAACATAATCTGACCTAATTTATTTTCATCCTTAATCGTAATTGTAGATATAAAAACTTGTAAAAAATAACTATAATATATATTTATACTTTTAAAAATTATATGTAAAATTTTTAATATTACAAATATATAAATAAGTATTGCCCCCACGATCTAAAATTTCTGGATCTGTTACTGACTATAATCATCGAGTTTGTGTCGCATTTTGGAACTAGAACGGGCCGTTCTGGTTCCAAATGCATTAAAAAAGTTTAGCATCCACGTGGCATTCACGTGTGCATCCACGTGACTAACAGTTAACTCCGTCTAAATAATTTGGATGGAAGTCCGACATTGCAATAATTTAAATTATTAGGGCGCAAATTGAAACAAAAAATTAAAGTGGGACTAAATTGAAACAAACAAATATTATAAGGGACTAAATTAGGGTTTTAACCTAATTTAATTAAATATATAATGTTGACTCTAGTCAAACCCAACTGAATATTGGTTGACCTCCCTTTCCAGTTTAGACTCTTTAGAGACTCACTTGATTTTCATAACAGTCTAACGGGGTGAAGTATGAACTATGAACTAATGCCAACATGCTAATCCCCATAAAATTTCACCATATAATAAATTTGCTATTTGTGCCAATCACCGAGTCCCAACCATAAGAACCATGCAGTCTGAATTTCTAGTGATAATTTGCAGACATGCTACTGTGATTTGTGAATAAGCCATGGTAAAAAAGGAGGGCAAAGTATAATGACCTCTTACAGGGTTTCACAAAGCATATGCACATGTCACACTCACATCTAGTTTCATATCATACAAAAATTTCCTTTGAAATTAATTTTTGGCTTAAATATAATTTCAGTCCTTGTAATTTCAAGAAAGTTTGTTCTAATCCCTTAGGACCATCACTGACGAGGAAAAATTGAATCAATTGTTCAACATCAACTTTGATTAATGTGATGTTTTCATCAACAAGGGTATTAGTAGATGTGTTTCGTGTAACAGATTTAGCAACCAGTGAGCTTTGTCGGATACATTCACTAACAACATTTGAGTAGAGATTAAAATGAGTTTTTTTTTTTCAAAGTACAAGGACTAAAAAAATCAATTATAAATTTAACAGACAAAAAAATTTACCTCATATTTGAGAGACTAAAAACATATTTAAGCCTTAATTTTTCATTGGAAAAATAGATACAGGATATTATGTCTCTAGAGAGAAACAGGAGTTATTTGACTGACAAAGAATTATGATAGGGAAGGTCATTGCAATATATAACATGAAAGGGGATCTGTGCTTGGGTGAAAAACCTCAACAAGAGGTTACTATAACTTACCTAAAACTGGAGTTATTGCCTACCAACAGAATAGAACCAAACAAGACCATGCACTAAAATATTTACACGATGACAGAAAATAAATAACATTTAGCTAACTACCATCAAACTATGAAGGCAAAGCAAATATATATTTCTTTAACCCTGGAGAGAGACAATATAACACAGAGAAACACACTTCATTCAAGCACAACCACACTTGATAGTTATATAGCAAACTCCAAATAATGAAAGAACAGCTGAAAAAATGCAGCAGGAA